CCTGTCCCTTCTTCCGCCACCTGTGCATTTCCTTCTTGCCCTTTAGTTTGACCAGCAGGTCTGGACTCTTGGCATGGCAGCCTTCCTTTCCTGATTTCTTACATCTGGGGATCAAAAGCTCTTGTGCTCTGTGAAAGCCTCCTTAAAGATCTGCCAGCTCTGTTCTCCTCCCTTGTCCCTGAGGGCAGTTTCCCAGGTGGTCCTGTTGACTAACTCCTTGAAGAGCTGGAGTTTTGCTTTCCTAAAATTCAGGGTCCTGACTTTACTCTTTGCTTGCCCCCTGTCCCTCAGGACTGCAGACTCCATCAGTGCATGATTACTTTAGCCCAGGCTGCCTCCAATCTTGACGTGACCAATAAGGTCACTTGTGTTGGTGACCAACAGGTCCAGCATGGCATCCCCCTTTGTAGGGCTGTCTATTACCTGGCTTAAGTAGTTATCCTCCATGCACTCCAGGAGTCTCCTGCATTGCCTACTGCTCGCCGTATTACTTTTCCAGCAGGTATCAGGGTGGTTGTAGTCCCCCAGTAGGACGAGAGCCTGCGAGCACAACATCTGCTGTAGCTGGAGTAAGAACGCTTCATCAACAGACTCGCCTTGATTGGGCAGCCTGTAGTAAACACCAGCCACAAGGTATCTTGGTTGCCTCAGTCTCTAATTCTTGCCCATAATCTTTCAAATCTGCTCATGGCTATTCCTTAGAGACTTCACACTATACCCATTTCTTCATGTAGAGGGCAACGCCTCTGCCCTTCCTTCCTCACTTGTCCTTTCTGAACAGCCTGTATCCATTGATAGCCACACTCAAGTCACAGGATTCATCCTACAAAGTCTCAGTAATGACAACCAGGTCATAGCTTTCTAGCATCACAGTGACTTCCAGCTCCTCCATATTTGTCCTGTGCACATCCATTTTCATTGTTAGGATTTGTAACATTTCAATAGTTGTCTGTGGAGTTTTATTTCTTTTTTCATTTTGTATCCTGATTTTTGTCAGTCATGCTGGAAAGTAGTAGTGGGTTCAGTCAACAACTCTGATTAATAGATTAATCTATTTGATGTATCTGATGCCTATTGATTAATCTCAAATAGGTTTAATCAACAATTTATCAGTCTTTCAGAACATTTCAGAAGCAGCAGTTAAATCTGTCAGGTACCACAGGCATGGTTCCATGGAGTTTAAAACAATGATGGTCCCAGTTGGCAAGGTACTTCCACTATCCTCCGCCTCCACTGCAAATTATTATAGCTGTTTCCTGCTTTGCACTGACTAAATTTGAGTGCAAAGTAGTATTTGAGTAGTAATTGAGTCAGTAGTAGTTGGAGGGAGGGACTGCAGAAACCCAGGTATAGATCAGCTTAAAGTGCTGTGGAACCCAGCCTTGAAAGGAAGGTCTGTTGTTGCAGCTGTTTCAGTTGTTAAGTAAGGAGAACATTGAATTTTCTGAGAGACTTTGAGTTTTTTTGTACAGTAATGAATTTTTCTTGGTATATATTGGTATACCCCTGAATAGACACATTTTTTATTGTGATTTTGTCTCAAAAAATATTGTTGGGGGGGTGTTATTTGTTGGGGGCAGGGATTAAAGTCTGCTTTCTTCCATGTTGGCCATCTGGGTCTGTTCAGTTAAAGTAAAAAATTACCTGGATAGGGCATTCTAAGTATTTGTAGGATATTTTTTTTTCATATAACTTCTTTTATTGTCCATGATAAAGCTAATCATTTTTAGTTACATTGGTCCTCAGGTTGCCAAAGTATTCTGTAGCTAATGTAGATTAATAGAGATTAAAGGTGGTAAAACTTTTACACAGAACATTTGGTTTACAGACTAGTAATTTGTATTTGTTTACTGTACTTCACAGAAGCATACAGCCTTCTGTTTTGAAGGTACCAGGTGGAGAAGAACCTGCCTCATTTGCTTATTTTCACCAGTTAATCATCCACTACTTAGACTTTTTTATTTATTTAATTCCTGATTTTTGAATAAATTTTTGTTTGTCAACTAATCAATTATATTGTCAGTTCTGCTGTGCAAAATTGAGGAATGTTGTAGTTTTTCCTATGAAGGCATAAGTCGTCCTCTGTTGTCTTTCTGGTAAGTTTTCTTTGTAAGGCATTTTCCGTGTTTCTCAAACCATTTCTGTATTCTAGAGAAATTTCCATTGTTCCTTTACATGTCAAGGCCATGATCTTTAGGTACTTTTCTACTGCGTATGGACCTCTATGTGGTGTTAGTGTTGAAAATTTTTTCTCAGATTTTTAACTACAGTGGTTGCTTTAATGCTTTCTACTGAAGAATGTTATTTAATTTGCTTCTTCACTGTGACTCATTAAGTGCTTTTCAGAGTTTGCTTTGCGGATCACAGCCCTTCATTCAATTAGAAATTTGACTTTGAATTTGAATGTATAGAGTTTTTAGTATAATTCAGTAAGCCAGAGGAAAAACAGTGTTGAATGATGACCAGTTACTTTGAAGCTCAGAGAAGATTTGGTGCTGATTTTACTGGGTTAAGTTTGTCTGTAAGTGACAAAATGCAGAGATGTGATATGTTTCTGTACATGTAAATAAAATACATTATTAATATAGCTAAGATAAAGCAAGCTAAAAACCCATTTGTGCTAATTCATATGCTACTAGGGGGAAAAACCTTTTGGCTCATACCAAGGTTGATATTAGCTAATTTTAAGATTCAAATAGAGATAAGCAATAAATTAGTGTGCTAATATAAGTGACAAAAGAAAAAAATTAATGCACTAACCTTTTAATTTTACATCTTTTATTCAGAGATCACAATGCAGACATCAGAGACTGGATCAGATACAGGTTCAACTGTGACTTTACAGACATCTGTGGCTGGCCAGGCAGCAGTGCCCACGCAGGTAGTACAGCAAGTACCAGTTCAGCAACAGGTAGGTGACTGTTAGTTTGGGGAATATTAAAAATATTAATAATCGGGAAGCATGGTTCTTCACAGTGTGGTGAAGAACTTGATTTTGTACAAGGCTGCTAAATTAACTCTTTTGCTCTGCTTTTATCAATTATATTTTGCTGGAATTAAAATAGCCAGAGAAAGGCAAGCTTTCAGGGTCTGTTCTTTTTGCTAGAGCATCTGACAAGCACCAGTAGTACACATACATGATTCTAATTGGAGGTTGTTATGGAATTCATGTAATAGCTCACAGAAATTTAGTTTATGTTACTGAATATTTACATTTTTTCATTGAAATAATGAATAGTGAATATGTTTCTGATTTTATTGGCTGTATAATTTCTCCTTTCATTTGATTGTCTGAGTAAGTGCAATACAAATGTAAAAATGAAAAGCACTGTCCTTTACATCTCTAGGCTTGACTCACTGCAGACTTTGCACTATGTCATGAAAGTATGTGTGGTATGATAATAAGTAATCCACAGTATGCATTTGCCAGGGAAGTAAGAAGACTTTTGTAGCAGCCAGCACAGTGCACACCTCTGTTACCTGAGACAGTCATTCACCTATGCAGCACCCACAAGCTTTGGAAGGAGTGGTGGCTGAAGAAAATGGGGAGGAAAAAAGGAGAAGTATGGAGGTAGAAAACAAGGACTGAATGTGAAAGCTGTGACAGCTGTCCCAAGACTTTTCTGGAATACGCAGAAATTAGCTGTCCGTGTGACTGATATTGTGGGTGACGTCTGATGTTGTTTTTAATCAAAAACTGACTTCACAGTTTCAGAAGCAATAATATGAGAACTGGTCATAGTTTATAAAATAGTGTAATTTGTTTCTGTGCCAGTCGAGCACAGAAAATTTTTGCCTTAAATGAAATTAAATTCTTCAGCATTTAAGTTCTAAAATTCCAGGTGGTGCATTTTTATATATGTGTTCCACAGTCTCATACATTTCACATCATTTTTTTCATGATGTACAGACTCAATTTGTAATGCCTCATAGTTCCATTACTATAGTTTCTGCTTATATCTTCGTGTATGTTTCAGGATGCAAGCTTGTTTTTAAAAAAAATACTCAGAAAAATATTGAATTTGGACTTAGAAATGTTATTTAAATGCTTGTCTTTGTGTTTGCTCAGAATTCACCACTAATGAATCAAGAATTGTTTGAAATACGTTCTCCTGAGTTCAGACTGCTAAATAGCGCTCTCTCTTTTTGCTTGAATGTTGATTAGGATAGAGGCTTTTGAATACTATGTTAGGTTTTAACTGAAGCTACCATGATACTTGAGTTTAGCTAATCCTTGTAGGAGATTTTGTCCAGTTAACTCTTTCCTAAAGTTTGTGAAGTGCAAGACATTTTTTCTTCATGAAATACTCGCTGGATAAGTTGTTTGATTTTTATGTTCTTTCGTGATGACAGGTGTTTAATAGATGTAGTTTATGTGATTTGTTCTTTGTTATTCATGTATTTCAGCTTTTCAGATGAAAGATGGCAATTTGGTAGTGCTACACAGTTGCTTGGTTTAAGCAAATAGGTTATACATACGATGGTCTAATACTACGTACTGAATTTTATCCATGTGAAGTACTGATCAGTGTGAGGGATTGAAGATTGGTAACCAGTTAGTGGCATATAGGATACGTTATAGTATTGTAGTTCTAATAATTGGACTTACTGAACTGTAAGGATAGGATCTTCTATGCGTTTCTGTTCTATTTTTGTCACAAGCAACTGAAGAATGAGCAAGGGCTTTGGTGTTTATAAACATTGCTTGTGCAAAGTTTCTACATTTCTGAAAACTTCTAGGATAAAATTGGCTCCTTTTTTTCCCAGATAAATAATGCATTAAACTCTGTCACTGACTGTATCTTTTCTGAAGTTACTCCAGTTGTCCTTTATAAACGTGATACTCATATCGAAACACAGAAGCCTAGAAGGAGATTGGATTTTTTTCTTGCTTGCTTGTACCTTAATGAGAACAGGAAACTGAATTTTTTGTTGCACTACCTGAGTATGTAAGCCTGTCCCTGATCAACCTCACATCTCCTCTAGTACTGCTGTTCCTGAGTATTCCCTTTTATTGAATACTCCATCAGTATTTTGGACTACTTTTCCCTGTGGGGACATCAGACTATGTTTTTCCAGTTGACTCTTAACACTGACCGTAGGAATCAGCATGATGTTTCAGAAAGGAAAGCTAAGGGATCAGCCCAGCCAAGGAATAGGAGTTTCTTCAAAATTTTGTAGGGATTGAAGATGCAGTAAGAATGTTGGGAAATCCAGTGCAGACAGTACTGCAGTGATTAAAACACAGTGTGTGTGTGAGATTTGTGTAGAGAGAGGATAGATTATGGAAGTGGATGTGTGGTGAGGAGAAAAGGAAGAGTGAAGATGTGAATGCAGTATGCCAGCAGGAAATGTGATGAATAGGACTTGGAGGTACTGGTGGATAAAAGGCTGGACACAAGCTGGCAATGTGTGCTCGCAGACTAGAAAGCCAACTGGATCCTGGACTGCATCCAAAGCAGCATGGCCAGCAGGTCAAGGGAGGCAATTCTGCCCCTCTACTCTGCTCTGGTGAGACCCCACCTGGAGTCCTGCCTCCAGCTCTGGAGCCCTCAGCACAGGAAAGACATGGACCTGTTGGAGTGGGTCCAGAGGACGGCCACAGAAATGATCAGAGGGCTGCAACACCTCTCCTGTGAGGGCAGGCTGAGAGAGTTGTGGTTGTTCAGCCTGGAGAAGAGAAGGCTCCAGGGAGACCTTATTGCAGCTGTTCAATACCTAAAGGGAGCTTATAAGAATGATGGGGACAGACTTTTTAGCAAGGCCTGTAGCAATAGGACAAGGGGTAATGGTTTTAAACTAAAGGAGGATAGATTTCAACTAGATGTAAAGAAGAAATTTTTCACAACGAGTGTGGTTAAGCACTGGCACAGGTTTCCCAGAGAGGTGGTAGATGCCCCATCCCTGGAAACATTCTTCAAGGTCAGGTTGGACGGGGCTCTGAGCAACCTGCTCTAGTTGAAGATGTCTCTGGTCATTGCAGGGGGTTGGACTAGATGTCTTTTAAAGGACCTTTCCAACTCTAATTATTCTGTGATTCTGTGATAGGTAATTTCAATTGTAGGGTTTAAAAAAAAACTAAAGGAATATAAAACATTGAAACAACCACTGTGTTGAGGAAATTGTAGGTGTGATCTACCCTGAGGAATTATCTGTGTATAGGTCACATTTGCCTAAAGTTAATATTGGTTTTATGTACATTTGATAGGAATAGACCAATTTTCCTAAAGAAAATCAGGAGAAAGAGTTGTAATTTCATAAAGTCATTCTTTTGATAGCAGAGGAAGGGCTTATTATTTCTGCATATTCAAATTATCAATGTTGGAAGTTGGAGGTAAGGTTTTAGGTGCATAGTATATAAGATATGCTTTCATTTTTTTCTGTGGCTTATAAGAGACATTAAATAATGTCAGCTGTATCCAAAATATATGTGAATATTCACCTTTGGATTATATTGTCTTGTGAATATACTTTGCTAAAACAATAGGGCACTTCTTGAGTTCTGTTAAATTCAAATATCCTGTAACATAAGCGTCTGTGTATACGCAACAATTTGGCATAAACTGAAACTTCTGTATTGTCATGTTTACAGTAATTTATTAGTACTTTTTACTGAATAATACATTTTTTAATTTCATATTAAAGCAGTGTATAGTACTTAATTTATCCTAGTGAGGTCTTTGTTTCCCATGTTTCCATTCCTGTATATATACCATACTTAAATGACATCTCATGCAGGCATTAATTTGGGGTTATTTTCATGGCATCAGTGATTTATTTATGCTCACAAAATGTGTGATATCTTTTTCAGAATTAAACATTTTTGTCCTGAAGAGCAAGCTGAATAAGTGGAAGGGTAGAGTAAGATCCTTTTTCCTACAACTGTGTTTTTATAGAAGCTTGCTGTCTCTTTCGCCATTTGCTTAAAAGTAACTTTTTTGATATTTTCAACTAAAACAAAAACCTAATCTGCATATATCTAGTATAAATGTGGCGCTCATAAGTCTGCTGTGATGCTCCAAAAATAGGGAAAAAAATGTACTGTTAATGAAAACCAGCGCTTCCCCTCTGGTAAAAGTGGCACTGGTGGCAAGTGGTTTCATGCAGCGCAGCAGCTGTCACTATTGAGCTGGGATAGAGGGGAATGGTAAGGGAACAAACATGTCCACATGTAAGCAAAAAGCAACAAGAGTAAGACCAAAAAGGTGGGAGTGTAGTTAAATTCCATTTTAATAGCTTGAGGAATTTTCCTAGGCTTTTGTTTCCTTAGATGTGGGGATTTTTCACTAATGTATCATTGCTTTTTCAACAGGCACTCTTTAGCACAGTGCAATAAGCTTCTAAAGATTCAAAATTAACTTCACTTTATAGTTTATGCCATGCAATGTGGAATGATTGGAGAAATAAAACTAGAAACAGTCATATAATTTTAATTTGTGAAAGTATATCCATGTATCAGAAGTTGAGTAAAGCATTTCTTCATATTCACCATACACGATAGCCTTCGTGTTCACAAAGCATTGTGTCATTAACTGGAGATGGAGACTTCTGCTAATCAAAATTGCTTTTAATGCAAAATCATGTTTAGCATATGAAAAACATAATCATGAACTGACATTACCCATTATATAAATATAAATGTGCTTAGAATATTACAACATCTGGTATTTATGTGTTGCTTGCCAAAAGTAATTCAGACTAATGAAGGCACAAAAATGATTTTTATCTCTGAGAACACAAAACTATGCACATCCAAGCTGTTTCAATAGGCACTGTAGGTAATTATGTGTTATTTTTTAAATGGAATTTAAAAATCCTTATATGTTTTGCCCTATTGTTCTACTCTTTTCTTAGTAGTACTTTGAACTTAAGCATTTTAAACTGGAAGTCAAAATTCTTTCTTAAATTTTGTTTATATGCTTCAGTATAATTTCTGCATTTCATGCTTTTTTGCACTTTATTTTTGTTGACAAACTCTCATAGATACAATATAACTTAGTCCCTCATTTGTTCCTGTGTGGTCATATATTTAAGAATATAACTTATTTTTCTTACTTTCCCCTTCAACTAGTAATTATAATTATACATGTGTATTGAAATAATTTTTCATTTCGCTCTTGTTCTCCTGGAACATTTCAGCTGCTTACTTTTAATCCTATTCCAGTTATTTATTTCAGGCTACAATCACTGAAGCAAGAGGAATGAAAGATCTTCTCTCTGACCCTGCTTAACTCATTATTTCCTATACCAGTCAGTTAATTTTCTGTTTTCCAGAGAGACAATAACAATTACCATGATTAGCTCACCAGTCTACTCCAGAACACACAATTTTTGAACTTGCATACTGTCACTTTTTAATAAATATTTCATTCTGCTTTCTATTTTCAGTCCAAATAATTTAATTCTTGGAATGTTTTTTTAGTACAAAAAGGCCATTTAGGTTTAGATCTCTGTTGAATAGTCTTTCTGCCATGTCCAATTTCTGCTCTTCCTCAAACACTAAAGAAAGTGGCTAATACAATTCCTTTAACAGCTTAATAAAAGGTGCAAGGAAAATGATAAATGAAACACAAGAAATTTTTTGTTATTTTTTACAATTACCACAAAAAATGTTGGTTGTTTTTTGGTGGTGTTCAGTTTCCTCATAATCAACTTTTTCTCAAATAATATTGTGCTTATTGAGAGTAGATATATGCATTTCATTTCTTCCTGTCATTGAAGATTAAAATGAAAATCCAGAGGCAGTAGATTTAATTATCATTAAAACATTTTTTCCAAAATGAAGTAAAATAGGAAATAAAATTAGTATTGGAGATTTCATATAAAAAAGATTTTGAGCATGGCACAATTTTCAGATACAAGACCTTGCAAAAGGCCACTTATTTTATTTGTCACTGCTTGGCAGGAAAAATATTTACCTCTAGCTCTACCTTAAGGTTGTTACGTACATTGCAATACAATGTAGTGAATAAAGCTTCCTTGGGCACCATAACCAATTTAACCATAGCAGTGCTGAGTTTCAGAGAAGATGAAGCAAAATAACTTTTTTTATAAACCGTCTTTTTTAATTACTGTATTGGAAAAAAATTAACCTAATTCAATGGCCCTTTTATATTGAACTTAATTGTTAAAATTTAAAAGAAAAACATTTTTATCTACAAAAGTAGGTAAGATGTTTTAATAGCACTGTAGTGCATACGTTCTTAAATGTTGATTTAAGAAGTAAGTTACTTTATTTGCATAAACAGTCATGACATTTCTAGTAGTAGTACATATTAGGCTAATAAAGAATTTATAAAAATTGATGAACATTTGAAATTAATGAAAATTTTGATTTAAACATTTTTTGATAATTTTGTTTTATGGTAAATTATTTTTTTGTTGTTTCAAATTAGAAAATGAAGATATTTTGGAATTTTTCAATTTGCTGTCCAGTAGACGCTGAGCTTTGATACACTCTATACCACTTTGTCCTTGCAGTGTCCTCTCAGTTCGATGGTAAAGGTCTTGCACTATGCCGAATCTACCGTTTTTGAAATGGTGGCAGCTGGTATCCAAGAATAGTGGAAGAATGTAGTGCCTTATATAGAAAGGGAATGTGACCTGCAGTTACTAATAGGAAGTTTTTAATGTTGTGTTTGTACATACTGTCGAGTTCCATTTTATCTGTATGCAAGTTGCAGGGGGAAAATCACATTTCCTTTAATAGAAAAATAGTGTGGGGGTTTTTAATAGGGAGTAAGCCATATCCAGTGTGTGTGAATAAGGAACAAAGTGCATTTTGGGAGAGGTTGGGCAAGAACATGGAATTCATACTGACAACAGCATTATTTCCACAGTGATTCCCTAGCCGTACTCCTGGGGCAGAAAATGGAGCATATACATTACATGGCAGGTGACAAATTACTGGTTTTAAGAACAAAGCCTGCTTTCAAGATGTTTTCTCACTGTATAGGTTAAGTAGATCAGTTTGGTGCTCTGTAATAGACTGATCAATGACTGTCCTTTTCCTGTTGATTAAAGTTTGTAGAACTTTAATCACCCAAGAGGAGGAAATACTCTTATAGACAAACTTAAAAACTATCATAATATGTTGCATATATGTTTCACAGTAAAGCACGTATACATTTTAGCCAATTATTGCATGAGTAGATAGTTTTGTCACAGATCGGAAAATTTGAATATTGAGAGGCACTGACTCATAGCGGGCTTACAGGCATGACTTCCTTATAGTGGATTTGGATCAAGTGCGTTCTATAAAATTATGATTTTAGTTAATTTAAGTAATGAAGTCAAAGGTGGTAGAAATAGAAGTAGTTTAGTTCTTTAAAAATATGTTTGCACAATACAGCTATTTTGGTTTTTTTTAATTAAAAAAATTGTTCTAAAGCCTAGTAAAAGGCGTAATTTGGAGTTTTTTGTGTTGACTTTGGGAACTGAATCTTTCTGTTAAATAACTAAATATTATTAGGATAGGAAATGTACACAGCTTTACTGTAATAATTAGAAAACATCTTTAAAATACAGTTTTTGAAGTTGAGAAATTGAATTTCAGATATATTTGTCAATTTATGTAATGACTTGTGGGAAATCAGAAGACTTTGGATTTTAATAGATATTTTAATCATCATGTTTTGTTTTATTGCTGTTAATGAACATAAACATCTGCTTTTCTTTCATGCTAATAAAGCTGCATTCAAAAGCTTGGGTGTTTTGTTTTTTTCAGAATTTGGGTTTTAATGTCAACCTCAAGGGGAGGTTTCTGTGAAAATCTTAATTTTCCTTTCACAGTCTGAGTCAATACTATAAAAGATTAAGGAAAACATGCTTATTTACAGAACTTTTAAAAACACAGCAGAGCTGAAGTTATTAAACTAGGGTCTTCTCAAAGAGCTCTTGGACATGATCCACCAAATGCATGAAACCCAGATTCATCTGGGATTATGGTGTTTGCAAGCCTTAGGACCAACTGATCAGGCTGAAGTTGCTTCATAACAAAATATCTGAGAAAAATAATGGTCAGTTAAAAGTAGTTTGTTAAATCTATTTACTAAGTATGTGCATTGTCGCTTTCTTGATTCAGTTCCTTGCGTAAAATTATGTCAGTCTGTGAAATCTCTTAAGTCCTTTTGCATCTTTTAGATTCTGGACGGCTCTTGAACCAAAATACAGCTTCTCTAAATGATGGCAGGTGTAAAATATGGAATTCTTAATCTTTGCTGAGGCAGAAGACAAAACATAGGGAGGAAATTTGCATAACCTGGAGCTTCCCTACATAGTATATGAATCAAAGGAATTAATTTGTGACTTTGTGTGCTTTTACAAAACAGGCATGCTGTCTCAGCAATATATGTGACGATAATCCATCCCTTACTATCTCTTGTTGTTTAGCTCATTGATGTAAAACTGCGTTGCATCAGAGTGTGTTATAGCTGATGATATTCCAGGAAAGGGGTTACTCAGACGGGAGGTTTTGAGCCATAATTGTACATCGGGCCAAAGCATTGCTGAGAAAAAAGCTCATATCACTGTAGTTCAACTCCAATTAAACAAGAATTAAACCATCTTAATGACAACCTTTATTTCTAAACTTACTGCAACACACTTGAGCTGTGATTTTAAGGCGCTATTCAGGACTGAAATGGAATAAGAAAAGGCATACATGTGGCCAAATGATACCATCTTCCATAGTAAATGTAATTTGTCAGCTTGGTGCAAAGTTATGCATCATTTCATCCTTACTATACTTTCCAATTAGTTTTGTCTTTGGCACTGATGGTATGTATTGCTTCATGGGCTTGCATCTTCAATGTTAGGGCTCCATTTACCAGACTTAACAGCACAAATATTCTAGAACAGTAACTTTCTTTGCTATTGCTGTGACATACCTTCAGTAATTATGAGAACAGAGATACCTCATATTGTTTAGAAGCCATTAGGTGCACTGAAGCATCGGTCCTTCTTTACAATATCTCAAATTTCTGGTGTTCTTGTTTTCAGGTACAGCAAGTGCAGACTGTGCAACAGGTGCAGCATGTCTACCCAGCCCAGGTTCAGTATGTGGAGGGAAGTGACACAGTCTACACTAATGGAGCTATGTAAGTTGGCAAATGATTGGAATTTGAATGTTTATTAAAATGTGAAGTTAACTATGTATTTTCAGTTAGATTCTACCAACTAGTGTGTTTTAAGTTGGAAAGAAAAATTATTCAGTCAAAGCTCTTTTATTGTCAAAATATTTTCTTGGATGAAAAGCTGAATTCATACAGTTTTTACTAAGGCACAATTCTGTAAGTAGAATTCTTGTGATTGTTCTAGTTGGACTCACATGAATTTACATATACAGCATAGTATTGTTTGAAAAAGTTTCAGTTTATGGGTAAGTTCTGTCCATAGGATGTACTGTGGAACTTCTGTCCTCAGGACAGAAGGCAGGGCCTTCTGTCTTCCTGGCTGCAATCCTAGTGGCAAATGCATAGAAAGGTGCAGCAGCTGTAGTTACTATTTAAAGAAAGTAGTAATGTAACTTCATTCCTGTGTTTAATAAAATGAGATAAGTATTTTTTCCAGAGGAATTAGGAGAGTCTCCTTTTGCTGCTTCTGTAGATGTCTTTTCTGCACATTATTTTGAATTTCCTCCTTCCCTGAACATGCTTTTCCATCACCAAGTTCTTTTCTCCAATATACATTTGAAACGTAGAAAGAATAATCTAGGTTTGATGTGACCTCTGGAGGTTACCTAGTCTAATCCCTGACTTGGAGCAGCACCAGCTTTCAATTTGGCACTAACATCAAAGTGAGATCATGTTCCTTGGAACGGACTTTCTCTGCCTCTTTTTTTCATTTACCTACCTTTTGCCATTTTTGCTGTGTTACTGGCTTTAGGAAGAAATAAGGTTTAGAAAGCTGCTTTATTGTCTGCAGGTACTTACTTGTTGAAAGTAATCCAAAAGTGATTCAAAAGAGCAATACTGTTTGGATCAGAGACTTCTGATGTTAACACTAGCAGATTTGGTCATCTGTATTAGCATACTTTGCTTAATTAATTTTTCAGATACTGTCTTGTCTATTTTCTTCTCACTTGTAAATCCTAAACAATGTATCTTAAGTATGCATTAGACTTCCCTGGTTATACTGGTTTTGACTGGGGTAGTTACTTTTCTTTATAGTAGCTGGTATGGGGCTATATTTTGGATCTGTGCCAAAAACAGTGTTGCTAATACAGGGAAGTTTTAGTTCTTGCTGAGCAGTGATTGCACAGCATCAAGGCCTTTTCTTCTCACACCACCCCACCAGCAAGTAGGCTGGGGGTGCACAAGAAGTTGGGAGGGGACACAACTGAGACAGCTGACCCTAGCTGACCAAAGGTATATCCCATACATACAGTATGTATCCCATACATAACTGCAAAAGACAAAATTGGTCTTTAACATGTACAGCAAAAAAGGGGGCATGGCAAATAATTAGGACTGTGTTTCCACACTAATATTTGAGTGGTTCCAGGTGTACTGGATGCCCCTCCAAGAGAAAACAAACTGTGGCCTGCACTCTGCTGCCAAAGGGGTTGAGAAGAACATGTTAGAGGTATTAGCTGTAGCATTATCATTTGGCTGCCTTTGAATACAGTGCATACTGGAGTTCTAGCATGTCCCATAGAGCAGCGCTCAGCATCAGAATGATTTCATGCAACCACGATAGTCCACTGTTAACCTCCAAAGGTCATTCTTAAATAGGTTTTTCAAGATTCTCTTTTCATTTATCACTTGTAAATTCTTATGTGAGCTGTTGGCATGTGCTCTTTTGGCAGTGTATGACATGCGTACGGCATGACTGCTTACAGTCCCTGGAAAAAACTGAATCAAATGTTACTGACTTCTTTGTTTGAAACTTCAGGTTTCCATGATTTTATTGTGTTTCTATATCTGAATCCCTTTGTCAGTTTCTGCACAGTCAGTGGGATATAAAAGACTTCCTTAACACAGAAAGAAAGCTGTCCTTAGCAGGTGAGCCTAATCCAGGTTGTCTTCCCTTCCTACAGCAGAAGAATTTACCCATGTTGTTGTGAACAACATTGTGAACAGCCAATTTGTTGTTCAGTGCTTTTAAGAAGATTAACCTTTCTACAGATTATGCTTTCATTCATAGAGGGTGGGACCAGCCTGCATCACTACTCAGAATTTTTAAAGACTATATATTGTGAAACATGTTTTGCCATATACTTCTGTACTCTAGATTAAGAATGGAAAAATGTCATTGATGTAAATTAAAGTTATTGAACATATGTGTTACATGTTACAATGCCATTTATTTGATAGGTGAAGGACAGTGGGGCTCTAGGTTGACAGCTGCCTTCAGAGATTAAAGAATTGTTTTTCTCATTACCTAAGTTCTATATTTTGAAAAAAATTACATTTGTTTCTCTTCTTGTTTTGCTGCTGGATTACCTTGTTCAGAGCTGTATCAATGTGGGAGTGACATTTCAGAATTTTTGGAAGTGAACAAAAAACTTACCATATTCCTAAACAAAGCTGGCATAGACTGTGAGTTCTGCTGTGACAGAAAACACAGAGGCCAGCTTCTCTTGTGCTAAAATATTTAGGAAAATGTTCAGATTGCAGTTCATCTTTTTCTATTCTTCATACTGAAATCTGTGAAAGATGAGCCTTGTGTATCCTGACAGATTCACAGAATTGTGTTACAGTTACTTTGTCCTGTTACTCCCACTCCAGAAATTGTCTGTTTCACTTTCAGAAAATAGGATTAGTTTGTAAATTATGTGATTGACTAGAGTGATCACTGGTTTGTGTTTTGGGTTGTCTTCCTATGATTATATGTTTGATTTATTTTATGACCATGCTAAATCAGAATCTTAATTCTAACTTAAAATCAGATATAGGATGCTTCCATAATCTATCAAGTGACAGTACTGCTCTAACAAATACAATAAGAAGTCTGCAACCCTTAGTTAGGGTGAAGACATTAATTCAGTGTACAGACATCTCTGGAACAAATATTACATCATATCTGATGAAAGAATTATTTTTTAGTTCAAAGTAAAGCACTTGCAAGCTAGCATTGATTTAAGCCCATATATGATAGCAACAAAGGACACAGAATATATATGAGGAGATTTGATTCAAAACATAAGAAGTTTGTTAGGTTTCACTGTCTTTGTCAAATGTAACTGTTGTACTCTTATAACGCAATTCTTCCCATGCATTTTATATCATGATTGGTTTACAGTTGAAAGTTATTTGGTTTTATTATAATGGGAGGCATAATAATAATAATACAAGAGGTGTAACCTACAAGTTGTCACCTACATTGTATAATATGAGAATATTTGAATTATGTTATCTACATTTGTGTCTGGTTAATAACAATTTTGCTTGTCAAGTGTGTCACTTTATCCTGAAACAAATGCATTGTTGTTGTTATGACATGTACAGGCATACCTGGCAGTTTAGAACAGATAAAGAATATTACGGCTGCACCTGTATTACGAAGCCAAGTGAATCCCCTATACTTGACATGAGCTTTCTTCTTACATAAATTGTAATGTATTAATCAAATGTAGCCATTTACTTGGTAATTATGGTGTGGCAATGAGGGTTTTAATTGCTGGAGTTGTCCAAGAATTGACATTGCTGTTGCATCCAAACCACATTCTTCAGCAATTTGTTGTACTACAATTTGTGTGTTTTGTTTGGCAGCACACACCTTGTATGCAAACCCAAGAATTTATTATTACGCCACTTGTAGTCTTAGCTGTCAAATCAAGGAATTATTATCAATGCAGTTATTAAATATAATAAATTTAAACTTTTTAAAGTTGTTATCTTCCTACTCCTTCCTAGTATCCATCCCTTTTTCTCTGGCATTGTGCTTGCCTTTTTACTACCCCTTTGCATACTAATATCAGTGTCTTTCATCTGAGAAAGGGTTACAGCAAGTTACCACTATCACAGGTGTTATGCCTGGAGAATGGTGTAGGCTCTCTGCTCACACTGGGTCCACTTGCAGCTATTTTTACTATGTTTTCTAGCACAGTTCACACCTTATTCATTCTTCATCGGTTTCCATTTCTGTATTACATCTGAATTTACTATATATGGTGTGTTTTACATTTGCTAGATAGTTCTTGAATATTGTTTGCTCATTGATCCTCTTTGCTACATTTTTAATCTAGGGTCATGAATTGTTTATTCCACGTAGAATAGCTATTTAATATTACTGCCTCTAAGAGCAGTGCATCAGCGTTTTTATGCAACACAATCATGAAAAGCTAAGCTAAAGTGGAAATAGTAACATTTATCTGATTGTTTGACAATTACTGTTACAGCTAAGCTAGAACAAAGCTCTAGGCTAGCTCTAGACAGACAAGTCTAGACAAAGGAAGCTTGACAAGCCCAAGTCTTGAGGTCTTGCAGATTTAGTACAAACCCTGTGACATATTTCTAACAGTGGCAATACCATATTTCTTGGACTATAGGTCTGGAGTACTTCATCAGAATTTTTAGATGTCTGTAACTAAGGTTCCCTTATCTATCTAGCTTACAGGTCCTGACAATATAATTTATAAGATTTCTCCTCTGTTTTCATCTACTGTGTCCCTTGGTTTAGAGGGTTTTCCTGCAGTTTTGCATTGTGTGTGCTTTTATTGCTTTATTTCCGTGTGGAAAAAGATCTTGGACTGAGTGTTGAAGATCTCAGTTCTTTTTTTATTGATAATGAATGCTTTTTAGTAACATTTACTTTAATTTTTAAACGTGACAAATAAGAATTTCTTTATATAGAATAATGTATTCTATTTTGGTACATTTTTATAAAGCTTTTTCTGATATTTTAAGTTGTCTGTATAGAGAACATGTATATGCATAAAGCATATCAGCTATTCACTATCAGAGGAAATTGCTTACTTTGAATTTTTGTTCTCTGGGTATAGATGCATTAATTGTTCTTTCATAGTGTGGTTTTGGTCTTTGGTTTTAGCAGTTTTATTTGATAAAGGGGGATTGGTGGAAGGAAGCGATGACTTACTATCCTACCAGTTCTTACATCTCTGTCTTTAGATCAATTGAGGAGTTTGTGGAAGAAG